TTCAAATATATAATATAGTATTACTAGCTATAATCACTATGATGTACAGTAGATCCCCAGAACCTCTCCATCTTTTAACAGGAAGTTTATAACCTTTGACCAACTCTTAGACAAAATTGTTTTTTGGTGCTTGGCATGACCCATGCCATTTTAAGAAGCAAGCTGCTGTCAGTGGCCACCAGTTCATCCCCATCACTTGAAAGCAATGTTCTTACATAGATAAGTGGGTGCATTAAGTTATTCACTGCTTTGGAATATACAGCTCTTAACAAGCATGTGCCACATGGCTACAAGCCACCCGTGTTCCTGGAGGCTACATGTATCAAGCTTCCCTCTCCTTTCAGATGTGAGATCTACCATTTTGCTGTCACCCAAGACTCTGCTTCTGGCCATAAGTTCCCTTAATAATCTTTTTTATTCTGGAGTTGTCAGCCTTTTTTCTTGGTCTCTCAGACCTGCCCTCCTTTGGAGGTCAGTTCTAGCACGCCTTAGGAAATTATTCCAACACCAACATCTCCCCATCTTCTCCACTCCCCAGCCCCTGGTAACCACTATTCAACTCTATTTCTATGAGTTTGGCTTTTGTAGATTCCACATAAAAGTGAAATCACACAATATTTGTCTTTTACTATCTGACTTATTTGACTTAGCATACTGACCTCAAGGTTTAATCAAGTCGTTGAAAATGGCAGGATTCCCTTCTTTCTCATAGCTGAATAATATTCCATTATTTCACATATACCACATCTTCTTTATCCATTCATCCATTCACTGACACTTAAGTTGTTTCCATATCTTGTGTCACACTGCTTCCTACATTGTGCCCGGGTCACACCTGCTTTGGGGAATTTGTCACAGGTGAAAATTTCTTCTGGAGTTTCCACCTAAGCCTTTTACCTCAACCAGCTACTGAGCTGCTAATTCTTTCCCTCAGTCTCCTCTCATTCCCCTACATTTCTTTCCACTACCAACCCCAAAATACCTTTTAGACCAAGCTCCCACCTCCCCAACCTCAATACATGCCTCCTGAGTGCCTCCCCATCTGATGTCACTTTCTACTGGCACTCTGTAAGAAATGGGGTTTGTCATCTCATTGTCATCTCATGTTAACTTCCGGCCTTGAAGCATTAAAATGCCAAGTGATTGTTGTATAAATCTTCAAATAGTTACACTGCTATAGTCTTCACATGTGCTTAAAAAAAACAATCCTTTATTGAATGATTGTAATTTACATCTCTGGGCACCTGAGTCAGGCACAGCACCTACCAGAGGGCAAGCAGGACCCTCATCTCCTGAAGACCCTCTTTGCAAGGGAAGCTCAGGGGCGGGAGAGATGGACACACCTAGAATTCATTCTCTAATATGACCAGTGCTACACTGAGCTCCCACTCTGTGCCAGGCCCTGCACTGGAGCCGGGTATGAAATGGCAAACAAAACAGACAAGGCCAGACCTCAAGAATTCCTAGTTCTGTGGGGCAACAGGCATAAACAAGCAAGCACTGACATCCCTAAAGAATTGTGGCTTTTGGTAGGCCAGTACCAGATAAAAATGGTGTTGGGCATAATTTATGGAGGATGTTTAGGAGTGTCTTTCTGGAAGGTGACTTGTAAACTAAGGCTGAACGGATTCAGAAGAACCACACTGTAAAGATAAGGGAGGGTGGGTGGCTGTGAAAGGACTCAGGAGGGGAATTAAACAAATAAATTGATATTCACACATTGTGTTAAACACTGAACAAGAAACCAAAAGTGGAATGTAGTAGAAAAAGGAAGTTATCAATGAAGGGGCTTTTCAGAAACACACAAATTTCATCTGAATCTGACAGGATGAGCTGGAGAATCCACAGACAGAAGAAGAGAATTACAGAGAAAATTGCACATGCAAAGGTCCGGAGGCAGGAATAGCTGGGTCTATTTGGGGAAGCCAAAGAAGACAAGGAATCTAAAGTGGGGGTGGGGAATGAAGCCCAGAGTGAGGGCAAACAGATGGCCAGTGGGCAGGCACATGGGGCAGTGACGGCTTAGTCACGCTCATTGAACTTCATTCGAAATGTATTAGAGATACTAAAGAATTACAGTTGGGTGGGGAATACGGCCATTTTATATTTTCCTAATGATTTTGCCCTTTCCCAGGTCACCGATGGCTTCCACGAGGCTGAAGTCACTGGACACTCACACATCTAACCCATCAGTATGATTTCACACAGGTGATCCCTCCCCGCCATTCTAAAAACTCTTCCAAGGACACCCCACTCTCCTAGCTTTCCTCCAACCCGCTAGCTACTCCCTTATCTCCTTCACTACATTTCCCTGACATTTTGACACTTGAGGCTTCATGGCTCAGAACTTGCTTCTCCTTCTTGCTTTCACTAATTATTTGGCCTTTTATGCCTATAGAGCCTGTTCATTTACCATCTTCCAACACAGACAACCATTACAATGTGTTTAATGTGCGTCTTTTTATTTGTATGTGTTCTTGCAAAATGTGTATTATTTTGAAATATTAGGAAAAATATTTCACTGCATAGCCCATGTAGTGGCTTCTCAAGACATAGAGTCTGTCTCAAACGAGACTACAGGATCCTCCTGCCTTTGGCTTTCTCCTTCTCTCTCTGCCATGTTCAGAGGTCTTTGCTGTACATGTGCCCTTCTTGGCAGCCCAGGTCAGCCTCCCTCGTGTCAGGGTCTCACCAAAGCCTCCTCATCCAGGCTTTGCCCTCGGCCTGGACAGGGACGTTTCTCCAGAACTGACTGCTTACAACTGCTTATAAGAAACAGTGCAGGTGCCACCTCCCAAGCCACTCTGACCAAGCCCTTAGGACTACATCTCTAGGGGCTACTGCAGTGATGAGCTCTAATGTAAAGGATCACTTGTTAATTCTCACAGAATGTCTGAAAAGGAAATGTGTATCACTTAAAGGCGTGGTTCAGTTCTGCAGACCAAATTCATTCATTCACTCACTTCACTTATTCAACCATTCGACAAATATTGCCTCAGCGCCCACCTTGTGCCAGTCTTACTGCAGATAATTTGCAAGAAGGGGCAGAAGAATGAAATATAGATGAGGATTAAGGGCAGCAACACATGGCAATCAAGAGAGCGTACTCTGAAGACCAAGGAGCCACTTGGCAGCCAGGTCCCCTGGTCACATTCTTAACCCTCTTTAGGCCTTAGGTTCTCCACATGTAACATGGGTTTCCCAGGAACATCTGCCTCAGTGGAGGGTGGTGTGGAATGAATGTGGTAATACAGTGACAACACAGTATTGAGATGAAAAATCTCAGTCCATGCTGGTTGGGCCCCATGTGTACAGGAACAGAAGCCTCCAGTGTGGGGGACCACTGAGGGGAGGATACCCACTTTGCTGAAGGATGAGAGAATCAGGTGATGTCAGTTGGTGGGGAGAGGTTTTAGAGGGTTTGCAGACAAAAACTAAGCAGAGAGAGTTGCTCTTTGAGTCTTTATTCATTGTCCTATCAGGAACTATTAACCAATAAAGGCTCTACATAAACGATGTTGATAGAAAAAAGATCTCATTTTTCTAGGGGACAGGGAAAGTATAAAATCCTGAATTTTCACTTCAGATATAGCCCAAGTTAGAGGAACTCAGCCACTTGCAAAGCTGTGCCTCCCTCTCCTGAAAATAACCTGAGACTGCTTTTTCCCTCATGGAGAGAGAGGCCATAGAGTCTTTGTGCCCAGAAGCAGGCTGTCTGCTCCCAGGTAAGGCCTTTTAGGCTGCCTGCCCTAGCCAGAACCAGCACTGTGTGCCCTGGAAAGAAATCCAGTCCCCAGCGCTTTCCTGGGGCCCATGGAGACCTCTACCTGAACATGAGTCTAGGGAGCTAGAGAGATGGTAGAGATGCTGCTATCAAGAGACCCAAACTGAGGGCAGGTGGGGTGGGTAGTGTCGAGATGGATGTACAGCTTCTGAGACCCTGGCACACCGAGGATACCTTGGGCCCCTCAGGAGTAGACCTGCCCTGCTCCCAACTCCAGAAGCTTCCTGGTAAAGGCAGAATCTCTCGTGACATCTCAGCGAACGCTTCTACCACTAGGAGTCAAGCCCTGCCACTTGAGTCACCACTGAATATTAGATATTCGAGTCTTAGAACTGGCCTCTCTGGAAGAGAAATCTGAAGGGCTTTCCCACTTATTCCAACAGCACTCAGACTGCTGTGGGTACAAAGAGGCCAAGGAGAGTAAAAGACACAGGGTTCCAGTCCCTTGTTAGCCATCTGTGCTAGGATGAGCTGCTTCTCTCGCTCCAGGAAGCCCAGATGGAAGTGGATTGGACTTGGACCACTTACCCCAGAGGTCTACACACCCTCGCCCTGCACGTGTCTGAATGGTCTGCTCCATAGAAAAGCAGCAGAGTTTTCGTCTCTAATTTCGGGCACAGGACTAATTAACAGACTGCGATAGGCAAATGAAATAGTCCTTTGGCTCTGTATTGATTGCAGATCGTTGCCTAGGGCTCACCAGGAGCAGGTGGGTTAATTCTCTAATTCCCAGAAACCTCAGGTCTTTGGGTCAGAGGCCACAGCCTCACTTCCATCTGCTTTGTCTTTGCTCAGACCTATTTCTGGAACGAGATTTGGGGGTGGAAGGATTCGGGCTTCCGAGTCAAAGCTTAGACCTTGACATGTGTGGTTATGGGACTTTGTGAACGTTACCTAGATAGTCTGTGCCTTAGTTTCCCCATTTTAAGTGGGGATAACAAAGGTGTTACCTCATCATGTTGCAAGTGAACGAGAAATGGCATTGGTGATTAGCTCAGTCCTTTGCTCATTGGAGATGCTTAGGCCATGTCAGCCCCTGTTCTTATCCCTGCCAGAAGCATGGACTGGGATGCTCTTTGTGAAGGCCCAGGCTCAGGGCAATGGCTGAGATCTGTGAGACCCGGAGATCTGTGAGATATGCTGACCTCAGCACACGCCGGGGGAGAGGGAAGCTGGTCAGGGTCCAGGCTGTGGATAAGGTGAAGGGATTCACTCCTGACAGGGGTGGTTTTTCCACTAAATTAACATCACCTTGGTCTGACGAAGAGTCAGGAGGACATCGTGACAATCCTCATGAGGAGTTCAGACTCTCAGCACCAGGAAGCCACCTGCCTCCTGCCATTCATGATTGTGACAGGATAGGGCTAAATCAGAGGACCTTGGCTTTGCCTAGGAGGGTGTAGTGGGGGGAAAGGCACTCTCCTGAGGGCAGTCAGCAACCCAGGGTCTGCGAGATCCAAGAGTTGGGATCCTGGCCACCCAGATGCCTCTACGGCAAGGCCAGGCCAACGTCCACCAGCTCTAAAACACAAGCTTCTTGGGAACCTCCCATGGGAACTCATTTCTTCCAAAATGGCCATAGCATGCTGTCTTCTGGTAGATGGGGTTCTTCAAATCCAAATCCCTGCAGGTCCAACAGAAGAGTGAGTCACTTTTTAATGGAAAAATAACAGAGTTTATGTCTCTAATTTCAGCACAAGAGTGATTAACAGACTGTGATAGTCTATGTGGAGTGTCGCCGCTCGCAGAGCAATTTTTCACAAATTTCCTTTCTACACCACATCATGTCTTGTAAGGTGACAGTCACTGGCCCTTGAGAAGCAGGCTCAGAGGTTCAGGGACAACCCGATCACACAGACGTACCAGAAACCAGGACTGCACCCTGGCCTTGCAATGCCTTTCTCTTCTGTGCTCCATGACCTGGCCCAGACTAATGTCAGGCTGCCATGAGCCAGGAAGCAGGAA